CACCCTGGACAGGTCTCCAGTCCATCACAGGGACACATAGCAACAAATGAGACAAACAACCATTCACTCTCTTACTCACACCTAGGGACAATTTAGAGTTACCAATCAGCCTAACATGCATGTTTCTGGTCTGTGGGAGGAAACTGGAGTACCTGCAGAAAACCCATATGTACGGAGAGAACATGCTAACTCCACCCAGAAAGGACCCCAGTCTGGATTTGAACTGACGAACTGCTCACTGAGAGGCAGCAGCTCTATCAGCTGCGCCACCGTGTTACCCTAATCAAAAATATACACACACAAAAATCACATACTTTAACTATTACGGCTGAAAGGGTTCTGCTGATCTCCCACTAACAGAAGTAATTAAACCTCACTGAATAAACTAAATATATATATATATATATATATATATATATATAAAGATCGTTGCCATATCATTACCATAAGTTGTAAAGAAACAAACTACATGAAATACACACTGCTTGTAAAGGTAAAAACACATATCGGTATTTACTTTAATCTGATGCATTGATTAAAAAGCCTAATCTCCCAAACAGTCACCCCAGACAACTTATCACTCGCTTCTGTTTTAGTTTGTCTGTGTTGGATTTGCATGCTTTTATGTTCTTCTGCTACCAAAATATCTCATGAATCAATGGATAGAATTTAATGAAACTCTTAAACGCAGGAGTCAACTCCATTTAAGATGGCTGCCACCGCCATATGAGTTTAGAAAGCACAACAATGGCTACAACTCATCGGTTTGAACAGATATTAGGCTCAAATCTGGTGTGATTTCAGCTGAGAGTCCCTCACAACACATATTCAAGTGCTACTCACTGTACAAAATGTTTGCCTAAAACTTCATTAACTTTTGGAGTCAACCCTGCTTGTCTGTTAGTAAAATATCTCATGAGCCGCAGAACATGTTTTAATGAAACATTTGAAAAGTAAAAATTTAATGTTTCTCTACAGCTGACTCAATCACATTAAAATGACCAGACAGACAGTTTGACAGATACCGAGCAGATATTTGATGTGGTAGTTGTTGTTTATAATATATACTCCGATTGTGACATCTAAAAAAAGAATAAACTCTGGCATCTCATGTTACTGCATGAGCTTGCTACAACGCCATCATTTCTCAACACGAGATGATCTTAGTCTGACATAGAAGGCAGTGGGAGAAGACTCTACATACATTCACATGCCCAGCACCCTGACACAGGAACATGTATCTAACTCACCCTCAGAACTTTGTAGAAAATGGCTCTGTTGATCTCCAGCGGGAAAAGATTCTGCTCGCCACTGGATTGAGCCCAGTTCACATATCTGAGCCAGTTCCCCTTCATGGGGTCTGTGGCATCAATGCACATCCACCCCCGCGCCGGGAAATACACCTGCAGCGCACAAAACGAGCAAACAGTTCGGCCATTTGAACAAAAACTCGAAAGGGGTCTCCAATAAATGAAAAAAAACACCTACAGTTGTGTGTCAAGTGTTTGGGGTAAATTTTTGTGTAACTTTTACCACTGACGTTTTCACAAAGTTCTTTTTTAATTATACATCCTAACAGAGGTGCAGGCTGAAACTTTAGGGTCAGCAGACTTTTTTTTTTTTTACATTTCTGTGCAACCCTAAAGTATTTCACATAGTTTAATAAAACGGACAAAAAAACCTAAAACTTCTGATGCTAACTGGGCGTTTTGAGACTAACTCAGCTAATGTGCTTAGATAAAACCCAATGAAGCATGATTATTTAATCCTCAGACTACAGCTTACATAAAGTGTGTCTCCTGACTGCAGTTTATTTAACTCCAAAGTCTTTAATTTGCCATCAGTAGGCAACTACTGCAAAGATGGATGTATTTTTAAAGGCCTGAGCATCATACCTCCCACATGTAAACATTACTGGTCACCTGGGACCTTTTCTTCTTCTCTCCAACAAACGGACCAAAACGCTTTCCTTTTGGGATGACTTTAGTGGCCCAGACACCTAATAATAAAAAATAAATATTTTTAGAAATTAAATATAAAAACAAATATCTTGCATGCATCACCAGCAGATGACACTTGGAAAAGAAATGCATTTGTTTCAAAGCAACGGTTAGTTCATTTGAATTATTACTGCCACACAACGCACTTCAACAACAGTGAACCAAGTTTAACTTCACACTCAGAGATCTAAAACAATAATTTAGAGTGGTCCACCCCCATGAAAGATGGGTGATAATATATCGTGGGTGTAATATTTGCCCATCTGTTAAAAAAATAGCTCTTGTACTACTGAACAACTTTGATGAAACTTGCACAAAGTAAAGTTCATCTATAACTAATGAACTGATGGGAGTCCAGCCTATTCAAGATGGCCACCAAAGCCAACTGGCCTTAAACACACACACACACGCACGCACGCACGCACGCACGCACACACACACGCACACGGCTATGATTTAGCCAGTTGTACAAATATTGTGGTAACATTTGATGTGGTTGTAGCTGAGAGTCATTGAAAATAAATACTCCAAGTGCTACTCACTGTGCAAGAATGTCGCTTAAAACCTTTTTATTAAATGTAGGAATCGACCTTGTTTGTCTGTTAGCAAAATATTCCACAAACCACTGGTTTATATAAAAAAAAACTTGATGTTAAAACTCTGGCATGAAAGGTGGTGAGCAACACGCATTCTGTTAAGAAATGCGAGGCCTTCTATGTTTTTTTTTTAAAATATTGTTGGTTTTACTCTCATACATGTGAGTTCACTTTAAATTTCCAGGCATCACAGTTACTCCCCTTTTCTGTTTTCTATTCTCACTGTGGTCTTGATTCACTTAATGCAGGAATTACTATTTATAACTGCGCAGACACTAAATACAAATGATAATAAACATAAAAATCAACATATTACAAGCCACAACAAGTTCTGAAAACATGGAAGAGGTTGTCAAACTCACCAACACGGCTTTGATTTACAGCTGACGGTCCAAGATTCAGATAATCCGGCAAACTTTTCCACACGTGAACTGGAATTTCATCCAGGCGCTCCACGGTCTCCCCATTAACCTCCATGACCTACATGGAATCACGAGGAGTAAAACAAGAAACGTTATTAAATGAAAATAAAATAATAATAATTTTTAAAAATCTGCACGTTTGTCATAGGTCTTTTCAGCTGTTTAAGCTTTTAGATATATTTAGCTAATTCTAGCATTTAACTACAGTTATTTTAGCTTTTTGCTAATTTTTTTTATTTAATATTTTCGCTACCGTTTAATTTTAGTTTTCAGCTGTGTAAAGCCCCCAGTATACTCCCACGTACGTACGTCCATGCGTACGTACGCACATACTATACGCAGAGGGCTTAGACTTCATACTCGAGTGTACACCCTGAGCAGTAACTCGTTCCAAAGTCTTGGTCCTGCTACAGAGAAGGCCCTGACACGTCTGCACTTAAGACGAGTTCCTGGAACTGTGAGGAGCAACTGGTCCGCTGACCTCAGGGAACATGGTGGGACATACGGTTGTAGCAGATCAGTGAGTTGGGGGGGGGGGGGG